TATTTTAAGCCCCGTAGCATCATCCCAGTGAGTGCCAATCAGTTGACCCCAGCTCTAAATCTCACTTCTGTGTTTTGGGTTTGGGTTTGTTTTCCCCCCCCCAACTTTTACGTATCATAGTCACTGGAGTGGGACTAAAATGTGGGTCTAAATACATGAACACCAGGCTATACAGCCATTTTCACTCTTTCTCCCTGGCCCAATGACTATCAGATGTCTTTATGAATGACTGCCATTAGCTCTTTAAATGACTAGCAGAAATAACCCACATAAATACATCAAATACTTTGTGGCTTAAACCCCTTTTTAAACTTGCAAGATTAGAGCAGAATGGGTACTGAATGCAATAAAAGACAAATTTAGAAGGTCAATTTTCATAGGCACAGATTTTGCTGTTCGCTTGAGAGGCTCACTGTAATAGGAGAAAAATAAATTGTGACAAAGTATGCCAAAAAAATCATCTTCTTTCCTTATATTATTACTGGTAGGATGATCAAAACCAGTTCTTTCGTGTAAAGTACTGCTGAATTTGGAAGGTGATTTCAAAAGAGAAATTGTAAAGCATAAGGTTAATAAGCTTCAGTATGGTGTTACCTGGACAATGAATTATGCAGCCAAGTTGTATTTATAGTAATGTGCTATACTCTGCCAGTTGCAGGCCATTTTAATATCAAAAATAGAATTCCTCCCAATTAACAGAATCTATTTTCAGAAGTGACCCGCCTCCTACCTGCCTTGCATTCATTTAAAAAAAATGCCAAACAATAAAACTAACACACAATACTTTAGTGCTGTTTAGCTAAATGGATTCCTAGAGATGCAGATAAGAACATAAGAAGATAAGAATGGCCACACTTATCCTGTCTTCCAACAGTGGCCAATGCCAGATGAACCAGAGGGAGTAAACAGAACAGGAAATTATCACATGGATCCCTCTCTCGTCATCCATTTCCAGCCTCTTACAAACAGAGGCTAGGGACACCATTCCTATCCATCCTGGCTAATAGCCATTGATGGACCTAACCTCCATGAATTTATCTGGTTCTTTCTTAAACCCGGTTAAAGTCCTGGTCTTCACAGCATCCTACTGAAGATTATGAATTGTCAGCCTCACCTGCCAAGGATTCAGCAAGGATTTTTTGCCATATTAATATATCCCACTGGAGCCCTGGAATAGATTTTTTCATTATTGTGTATTTTGGTGGTATTAAATAAAAAGTGCATTAGGTACCACCCTCACCTGAAGGACAGTACCTGCCCTCAATCTTTCCTGAAATGTTTTACCAAATAAAGAGGACAAGTATCATACTGCTGCTATGGAAGGAGGATTGAGGTGGGGAGCTACCCCAGAGCATCCTTTTGAGGAACAAAATGTCTCACTTTCCTCAGCTCCCTTTAATGAAGTTCAGGAAATCAATCACTTGCCTCCACAGTATAATTTATTTAGCTTTCGCAACTTCCCTCAAAGAGGTTCCCTTTAGGTGCAGGAGGCCTTGCCAGCCCTCTTTCTCAGCGTATGTCTACACTACAGCACTAATTCGAACTAACTTAATTCAAATTAGTTAATTTGAACTAAGCGAATTCGAACTAGTGCACCTAGACCTAAAAACTAATTTGAAATAGCGTTTTGCTAATTCAAACTAGCATGTCTACATTGAGTGGACCCTGAACCAAAGTTAAGGCCGGCCAGAACAGGTGCCAGCAGGACATCAGGTTAGGACTTAGAGCGTGGAGCTGCTGCCTCAGGCTAGCCGAGGGCTGTGCTTAAAGGGACCCTACTCCCACCCCGGACAGACAGTTCTCAGGGTTCCCCGCTTGCTTGTCTACCTCAATGAGGGACAGCAAAGCAGTCCTGTCTTGGAGTGCCCGCACTCGGCACATCACAACACTCAGCCATCAGCCCGGCTGCACATGCCGCCATCCGGGGGGGCCAATCAGGGGGCTGTCAGGATCCAGGAGGCCCTGCAGGAGAGCTTCCACTCCGAGGAGCCCACAGAGCCACCCCAGTCCTTCCCATTGGGGGCTCGTGCCCCATTCCTCCCTCACCTCCTTCCACTTACCCCTCCCTAGCCCCCCTTCCTGATGTAAAAAGTAAAGGACACGTGTGTTCAAAAATAGAAACTCTCTTTATTTAACAAAACTTGGGTGGGGATTAACCTCTGAGGAGACTGGGAAAAGGAGGTGGGAGAGGGGAGGGGGAAACCTGGGAGGAGGGAGCTGGAAGGGGAAAGCCAGGGGAAGAAGGAGGTGGGGAAGTATCGAACTATGGTACGCCATATCTTCAGGACTGTGTACAGATGTGGTCTCCTCACCTCAAAAAAGATGTTTTGGCCTTGGAAAGAGTTCAGAAAAGGGCAACTAAAATGATTAGGGGTTTGGAATGGGTCCCATATGAAGAGAGGCTAAAGAGACTGGGACTTTTCAGCTTAGAAAAGAGGAGACTGAGGGGGGATATGATAGAGATCTATAAAATCATGAGTGATATGGAGAGGGTACATAAAGAAAAGTTCTTCATTAGTTCCCATAATAGAAGGACTAGAGGACACCAAAGGAAAGGAATGGGTAGCAGGCTTCAAACTAGTAACAGAAAGTTGTTCTTCACAAGGCAAATAGTCAACCCGTGGAACTCCTTGCTGCAGGAGGCTGTGAAGGCTAGAACTATAACAGAGTTTAAAGAGAAGTTAGATAAAGTCATGGAGATTGGGTCCATGGAGTGCTATTAGCCAGAGGGTAAGAATGGTGTCCCTGGCCTCTGTTTGTGGAAGGCTGGAGATGCACGAGACAAATGGCTTGGTCATTGTCTTCGGTCCATCCCCTCTGGTGTAGCTGGTGTTGGCCGCTGTTGGCAGACAGTCTACTGGGCTAGATGGACTTTTGGTCTGACCCAGTACGGCCATTCTTATGTTCTAAGCTCAGGGCTCAGGGTCACGGGTCTCACTGGACCAACTTGATTTTCATGCAAACCTGCTCCTGGGTTCACAAGTGGCCTTTGGTGGCCAGGCTGGCAGCTATCCTGCC